ACTTTAACAGTTTCCATACCTTGAGTTTGAGTAAAGAGAAGCACATCAGCACAAAAACAGTGATTCAGTGCAAAGAAGAAACCAAACAGATGGAGACAACGGAGGGAAAGAAAAGAAGTAAGAACTAGTACTAGTGTTGCCCTCAAACCACCCGCTGATGGTAGTAAAAACCCATAAGAAAAAAATTCTAAAAGAAATATATTTAGCAACTATGACACTTGAAGTTACAAGAAGAACTTGAAGAATTCCTTTGATACAATGCATCAAGGGAGATATCTGTAATCAGTTTGCAACATAAATCAACCAATTGTGCATTACTTTGTTACGAGCGTTTGTGGTGTACTGATTAAAAACTTCGCTATCACATGCCAGAGACCCAAGTTTTGTTTCTTGAGATGGGAGAAAATTTGTATGATCTTTCTGCAGAGATGTTGTAATAATAATAGTACAGATTAATAATTTAATTAGCATTCAGAGCTTCCAGCAGATGACGTCATTTTTCGAGGATTTTAGGGTCCAGGGTGCCGCCTAGGCAGGGGGTTGAAGGGGGACAGCGCCCCCCCCCTTATGTTTTTAGTTTAGTTTAGTATGGGGATTTACGGCGTTCGCAACTGCATAAGGTCATATGAGCGCGCGAAACACAAGTTGGTTGCATTCGCAACAGTTCACTGCACGGCTGGTCAACTATCAGTATCAGATTTTAAAATGTTAAAATATCAAAATTCGGTGTAAATATACAGTCAAACCTGTGTAAGACGGCCACCCATTGTGAAAGAGAAAAGTGGCCGTATAAGACAGGTTGCCATCTTAGGCAGGACTGATCAAGATGAAGAAAACAAACTATTCCTTTCTGAGGTTTCAACCAAAAGTAGCCGTATTGTTGTTGTTATTGCTGTTGTTGTTTTCGTGGTGTTTTTTTCTTTTGTGGCTGCTTTTGTGCAAGGGTGACAATAAAACGAAATGTGTCAGACAAGGAGGACCGAGTGCTATGGTAAAACAAACAATGGGTCGCCACCACTCGGAGAACGAGCGACGCTTCTGTCACAAGTTCATGTTGACGTCCACTGTTACTTTGTTACAGACTGGGTAAACAGTGACCGCTCATTTCACCCATACCCTGCATACATAATTTTCTGCTGTGTAAATCCATATAAATCCAAAACCATGCTTTCTCCCTTGTACCGACACTGTAGGCCTACATCCACAACAGTAGTATAACAGCTACATCTATAAAACTCTGGATTTATATAGATTAACACAGCAGAAAAGTATCATGTATGCAAGGTATGTTTTTTTCTCACTTATCAAAAAACAAGGAAATTTTATTTTTTTGGAAAAATCAGAAAAATCATTTAAGAAGTCAAGCTGCCGAGGAACTAGAATCTATCATCATAAATTGCCACTAATGTCCCTAAAAAAAGTAAAAAGAAAAACTGGCACAAAATACTTTGATGCTGAATTACAAGAAAACTTTTAATAAATGACAAAGGAACAGCAACATTATGAACATCTAACATCTGTAACAGATGACTGAGAGTTCAAAACCTCAGTCTCTACATCGTTCTTGGCTTCTGACGGGAAATAAACAGAGGACTGCGGATTCAACAGCTTGGTCTCTAAATCCTCCTTGACTTCCAACTCCGGGTGGACGATCACCATATGGCGGGCATTGCTTGGAATCATATGCAAAATGTCCTCTGCAAACAAAAATAATTTAAAAAAGAATCAATAAGTCAAAACACTTCACATGATAATATCTGAGTTCACAGAAAGCAAGATGGTAAGATATAAAGAGCAAGACGCGGAGAGGAAGACCGACTGATCCCGTTAATGATTTTTTTTTTCTGAAAATGTAAACAATTTCATCTATTGTTTCTGGGTGGATTGATGATGGATCTTGTGATGTGGATTGGTTCATCTACTTTCTGTCTTAAACAATCCCTAGCAAACTACTGTCAGTGGTGTAGTGGTACGATGCTTTTCTGCTGCACGCAGAAGATATGAGTTCAGTTTCCCACCGGGGTGATTTTTTTTTCCGAGCATCTCGGTCTTTCTGCTGGGATGTTGTAATCCCTCTCAACTCAGGTTGGCCTCAACAGGCAGGATCAGAAGTCTGCTCCTCCAAATTGTGTAGATCGGGTCTTTAAAGAAAACCCTACTCCCAGGCAACATGTGGCTGTAACCCATTAGCAATATAGATTTAGAATATTCAAATAAATGCAAAACACAAGAAAAAAAAACAGCTTGCAAAGTATATTTGGTTTGATATAGTACGGTTTTACAGCGCCCGCAACTGCATAAGGTCATATGAGCGCCAAGGGGTGGATGTCAACAGAGAAGTCCAAACGGGAAATCAGGTTTACTCTGTTCACCTCTCTAGCCTAAACAGCACAATGTTTGCTTCAACAGACTTCAAGGCACCCCGAAAATAGTAGTTCACCGTTGATAAATCGGCCAATTCAGAATTTACAAAATTCTACTGCGCATAAGAACATGTTAATATCCCCTCTTTGGGAAAGACCTAAAGACACTTTAGTCAGTAGCACTGCCCTTAGGGGGTGGGGGGAGTGGTGGGGATAGTTTATTTGGGATTTTAATTTATCTGTATTAGTAAACAGAAGCAATGAAGCATGCAAAGACGACTATTCTTGAAGGCTCAAGCCGAGAGACAAAAATGAAGGAAAGAACATGTAGCAGCTTCAATTATTTTCCACAATTTGTCTATCATTATCATTATAATAGCATCATTACTAATTACAAAGAGAAACAATACAGAAATGAAAATGAAAATCAACCCCCGCCACTCTCCCTCCCAGTGCATATACAGTGGAACTTGGATTCAACGAAAGGAGATGGATTCCTCGGGTTTTTTTTCTTCTTTAAAATCAATAACAATAACCCGGATTCAACGAACACTTAAATCAGCGAGCTCGGATTCAACGTGGACGACACACAAATAAGCCAGTCTTGACATAGATCTACGTAATGAATTGTGCACCGGTCTGTGGAATCAAAAGTTGTTGAATGCTAGGCTCTACACAGCAACACAACTTTTTGGCAAACAACCGATATGACACAGGCGTGCATTTGAACGAATCGGGTTTTTTTTTTTGCACAGCTCGTAATGTGCAGGCATTTCAGGCACCACTTGTAACTTCTCATTATACATTACTTGCTCAAGGCCTGTAATTATCTACACAAAACCTCATGTTTGCTATAACGAACACTCGCATGTAACGAGATTTTAGGTCAGGCTAAGCGACCTTGCTGAATGAGTTCCACTGTACCATTATTACTGTTACATAAAGTCCCTTCCATCTTCAACCCCTTTGCTTGTCAGGACAGGGTCAATAGCAGAACATTTGTACAGTAGTCTCCGCCTAAACGCACGCCATACAAAAGTAAGCTCCGCTCAAAAGCACACTTTCACCATCTGACCATTTTTTTACTATATATAATTTAGACATACAAACGCACGGTCACTCCCTCTAAACGCACGCTTCGATCTGCGAAACACGCTGACAGGTAGGGCCTAAAGCTTGACAAAGGGAAATTCTCGTTACAATTTGCACAGCCCACATTAAGACAAGCCTAAAAAAAACGGATATTTGGTGAGACTGGCCCTCGCGCTGAACAAAGAGAGTGATGGACAGCGTTTTCACACCCAACTTTCCACCAGACACAAAGGTCTAGGACTGGTCGGTAAAATGTTGGGGGGTTGGGGGACTGAAATGTATTTTGATTGGTCACAGAAAATGCATCTTTTAGAGAATGTTATCTGGTGTTTGGGTAACAGCATGTAATGCGCCACACGCGTGAATGCTGTAAAACACTAGACAGGTCTCTATAGGATTTAAGATTAGTCAAATAAGCCTAATCTGCAGCCATCGAAGAACCTGTAACAAACTTGTTCAAGGAATCACTACATAGAGATCTAGATCTATGATTCTGATGTCGTCCAAGAACTTACGGTCGGGGGTGGTTGCTTGGAAAGCCACGTGATTGGGCTGTGGTCTCTATGACTATCCTCTTTTGCTATCGGTTTCCGACATTTTAAGGTGCATCACATCATTACATTGAGGCTGTCTTTCAAACCCGCCCGCCCCCCACATTCAACGCCTTTGGTACTATTCTTAATGGCAGTCGGGGAATCTTTCACAAAACAGTCACGTGTCGTCACATTATCGGTCCAAAGTGAACCCCACCTCAAAGGGAGGTCACTAGAATATCAAGGCATAGAGATGACTGCGTTTCTTCCTCCCTTTACAAAGTTCATGTAAACGCACGCTCCGTATAAACACACGCTAAGAA